AGGCAGAGCCAAGTGCTGCAGGACAGACAGGAGAGGCAGCCAGATGGCATCCAGCTGGCCACCATCATTGAGAATCCTGCAGTCTGCAGGGAGCCTGGCCAGCCAGTCTCCAGCAGCCGGGAACGAGCGCCAGCAGCAGGACAGTGCCCTGCTGTCAGTTGGGAACCATAGGTCACGGCAGAGCTGTACTCCCATCTGTGCCTGCTACCTTTGTGGCTCTTTCCAGTGCCCTACACAGCCACTGATGCCCTGGGTGAAAGCTGAGGTTCCCCAGAAGTTTGCTAGTTAAAAAAGAAGCATGGAGCAAGCCATTGGCTTGCATCTGGGGACAGATTTGGTTGCTTTCCTTTCATAGAAATGAGCAAACAGACATAAAAACAAACATAAACAGTGACCAAGTTAATTTTTTTTTCTTTTTTTCCCTTTTTTTTTTTTTCTAAGAAATACAAACAAGAATAGAAGTTTCCACATGAGAGCTCAGTTTGCCATATTGAAGCACACGCCCTGAGCATGACAGCTTGCTGGTACACGTGTCACTGCCCAATTCTGACCACTTCTCACTCGCTCTCAATAGTGCCCACTCTCAGCAACGGCTCAGTCACAGCACATCAGCTACACTTATTGGGTTTTCATGGTGTCCTTTCATCTCTCAGAAATCTCCACTCGACTGGACACACACAGTATAGCACCTCTGCAAGGACAATTCCATACAGCCTAAGAGATGCTCCAGGATAACCTTACTTGGCACTCTGTGGCTCCCACCAGAGGCTCCTTTCCGCACTGCAGGCAAGTGACTTCCCGCAGGGGCAATGCAGTTCAGAGAAGCAGCTCCTGGTCCTTCCTCCTTTTTTGACAACAGAACTCATCCAGCAGCTGCCAGCTTCCAACCACACTCAAAGTTTTGTACAGCCAAGGGGCAAGGAAGTAAAAACGTGCTGAAATGCATTTCCTGTTTGTAACAACCAAATCTGCTCCTCATCTCACTCTGCGTTGGACTTCATGGCAAAGTATCAAGCAAAGTCCTCAGACAGAAACCTGTTCACCTTTGCAAAATGATACATCTTGTCTCGTTTATGTGTAAAAGTCACCCTGCTTGAAATCTCTTTACATTCCCTAAAAAATGTAGTAAATCTTTGCATCGCTGTGTAACATGGTCTTTCTGAAAGAAGGATGCACTCACTGTGCCTGCAGGTATTTTAAGCAGCCACTGGCACAGACATCCACGTACAGCCTGCCCCACTGACACAGCCTGGCTATGCCAGCAGAGGTACAGGGTGGGCAGCCACTGGGCCAACATGCATCCCAGCAGGCAGTGTGGCTCAGCAGCTGCTCTGTTTTGACCACAACTCCCACAGCTTGTGAAAAACCTCAACCCTCGTCTTGCTGGAAAAATAGATGAGCACACCTAAGCATCAGGCTGCTTTACTTTTTTCTCCCAGGACAAGTGAAATATGGAGAAAGGTGTGCCAAAAAAAAGGGGAGTATTTCTTCTCCAGAAAAAACCACCTCAGAAGGCATCTTTGTTGCATTAAGTTGGCAACGTGTTCTCCATCCCTGCACAGCACCTCCTACAGCTGACAAGTGTTTGTCTGACACCAATCTTAAATAAACCATGAAGATGACAGCACTTCTCTGTTGTTTGAAGTCAGGGTGAATCATGAAATGCACTGATAAACTCTTCAGAATGTAAGGGAAACACTACAGGTTTGCTTCCAAAAAAGGGTAAGGGTGGTGGGCAAAGATTTGAATTAATAATTCAGCTGATAACAAGATGCGGCACAGTGCAAACTGGTGTCTATTTGCACACCAACACAGATAGAAACCATCATCTTTATACTGAGAAGTATTTTCCAAAGGGCTGAGGTTTTTTTCACTAAATAACTCAGCACATACAAAATGCAGAAGACATACAAGTGTGAAAAAGTTCCGTAAGCGTTGTTTAAGGCAGAAAGCTGACTATTAAACTCTGGTCTACAGAACCAGGCACTTTATAATCAGGTACTCTTGCCAACAATGCTCTGGAGGTGCTGCAAGCACAGCACTGACAGCCAGGCAAGGGCAGCCACCGTCACAGAGAAAGGACATAAACCTGTTAAAAGAGTGTCCAAAGGAGGACTACAAAGATGGTGAAGGATCTGTAGGACAAGGTGTATGACAAGCAGCTGAGGTTGTGCTCAGCGCAGAGGAGCTGAGGGGAGGCCTAATGGCGGCTGCAGCTCCTCACAGGGAGCGGAGGGGCAGCGCTGAGCTCTGCTCTGTGTGACAGCGACAGGGCCCGAGGGAACGGCATGGAGCTGTCAGGGGAGGGCAGCTGGGGGTCAGGGAAAGGGGCTGCACCACAGGGCGGTGGGCGGGGAACGGGATGCACAGGGCTGTGGGCACTGCCCCAGTGCTGCTGGAATTCGAGGAGTGTTTGGACACTGCTCTCAGAGACAGGGTTTGATTTTTGGACTGGTCCTATGTGGAGCCAGGGGCTGGACTTGATGATCCCTGGGGCACCCTTCCACCTTGGGATATCCTACAATTCTACCAGTCATTCACATGTAATGTTAGTTCTGAACGCCCAGAACAGACTATTTCTTATACCTGCATTAGTCTTTCCTGCACCCAGCCAACGCTGCCAAATTTCAGCTGACATTCATTTTGCTAACCCTACACACATTTCAGTGGTGTAAGGGGATTGTAATGTCAAACACTCCTGCTCACGTTCAAGGCCAATAGCTCCGTCCTGTCTCCAGCTCTGCTCCCAGCTCAGCCAGAATAAGTTATACCTATGGTCTTCTGTTTTGATAATGAAGATACTGCTAAGAAAACTTTGGATACAGTAAAGAATGCGGACACAACTGTCTACGCTGAACATGAATACACATTAACATAGACCAAATGATTTAACCCATGTAGAAATATATGAGAATGAGTGAGCCCCTTGAGATCAAAACTAGAAATATCATCAGTGGTTCACAAACAAGTTCTGTGCTTATGCAAAAATTCTGCACAGCAAGTGTGTAACTATTACAATCCCATACACGCCTAAGTATTTGCATGCACAGGGAGCCACCATGCCTCTGCCCTGACCTAAATAAACACCAACAATTGCTTAAAACCAACCAAACAAAAAATCCAGTTAGAAAAAGAAAAAACAAAAAACCACACACACATTCCTTGGGTATCTAATCAATACAAAGTGCTTACCTGAATATTCCGAGTAGTTCAAATACTCAGAAAGACAGCAAAAATAAATACACAGCTGTTCCACATTCCTCCATTACCCACACATGTAGCAATTGAACAGTTTAACAGTTAAAAGACTCAAAAATTGTCACAGAGTGCATCTACTGGCTGTGCAGCACACAGAATAACATCTCATGGTAATATCACTGTGGAATTTGTAGCACCCATCATGTAAGAAATACCACCTGTTACTTGCTGTGTACATAGAAATTTCCTTACAATTCCATTCTGATATTCTCAATTCCAAAATGCACTGGAGTCAAGAATAAAATATATACTTCTGTAAAAATTCAGAACTAGTAAGGAATCCTTGCTAACACAGGTGCATCTAGTTACAAAATCTGCTCCAGAAACACATAGGACCATAGAATGGCTTGGGTTGGAAGCAACCTCAAGGATCACGAGTCTCCAACCCCCTGCCACAGGCAGGGCCACCAACCTCCCCATTTAATACTAGACCTGGGGCCCCACGCTAGTATTAACCTAATTAGGCTAATACTAGGCTGCCCAGGGCCCCATCCAACCTGGCCTTAAACACCTCCAGGGTGTTCAACCTCCACAACTACTCCGGACAGCCTGTTCCAGCACCTTACCACTCTCTTGAACCAAACATCTAAGAAGCCCTTTGATGGCTTCTCTTCATAGCACTACAGAAAAATATTCAGATATCTAAAAACGTATGGCTTTCAGAGTAAGGATTACTGAACTCATTTTAATAATGTAACCTTACTGATAAAATGTTCCCCGGCAAATCCTCCTCACTCGCCCCACTGTGTCATCATTTAGATAAATTACGTTAACAATCTGCACTAAATTCAGTGAGCTTTCTGGTCTTTACACAGCATCTGGTGAATTCCTAAAATAGTAAAGAACACAATAACTCTAATGTAAGAGAATCCTGTGCTCCTATAATTTACCATTGCCAGCTGGAGAACAATTACATAAAAACACTTTTCACAGGACCAGATGATCACTTGTTACTGTTCCGTATTAAAAATAAAACTGAAAGGTGAAGCTTTCCAACTCTTTTACATGCTAAAGCATGAAAATTTTAAGGGAGCAGCACATTCATTATGTCTAAGATGTGTAACTGCACAGAGTAAACAACTACAAATCACACAGGCTTCTGTGGAAATCCTGCACAAACCTGCAGAGCACCATGAGGCCAGTACAAGATGAAGAGATGAGCTGACCAGAATGCCAAGCTCATCACAGAGAATGTGACATCCTCAGTTTGAAGTTGCCAAAGATATGGTACATTTTCTCTAGAATAATTCAAGCAGTTTAGTAGCTGATAGTTTAGGATAGTAAGAGTGTCTATATTCCTGCTATGCCAGACAATAACTGAAGCTGTTTTTCCCACCTGTTCTTGTCTTTCCTGCTACACCTTTAGCAGCATAGCAAGGAAGTGGCTGCACTCAGGATGGGCTCTCATTCTCCTTTCCCCAGCTGACTACTCTCTGAGCCTGCTCTGCCACTACAAGCAGCTGCAGTGCAAGGTGGTTGAGAGCAGGAGCTGTTTTTAGCCATCAGATAAGACTATCTATCAGACTAATCACTTGCACTTTGCTAAAATATACTGTGGACTTCGTGGCACAGCCTAAAAACAAAGCGTACATTGAATTCAACACAACCACAGAATGCACTTGAGTCCATCTCTAGTATAACTTTCATATGCATAAAATATATGAATATTTTTGGTAACATTCATGTGAAACAATACCCTTAAATACTGGCAAACCATAAACGTAAAGGGAATAAACTCCAACCTTTGATCCGTAGAGATACTGGGGCTGAGCATTGGGCTGCTTATCTCTCTGGAACTCCTGAGAAAATGGTAGCACAGTCCGAACAAATCTACAATAATAAAACAAAGACATAATTATTAACCCTTTAATTACTAGGTGTGTGTCTACTGCACTTTATCCTGTACACTACTGTTGTCTATGAATAACATCAAAGCCAGGCCAGTACCCTTTCAGATCTGAGGATGGGAAAGCACAGAGCCTCCAAATACCTAAGCACAATGCAAAACTCAGTGGCCAAACTAGTGTTTGAATGTTTCATCATACTTGACTGATGTTCTATTATGTACATAGCAACAGAAACCAGGCCTAACAAACAGCGTTACTGCTGTACATCGCACAAGGGGAGAAGAACTACAAGGACTTGGAATGCTGCAAAAGATGTGAACAAACATCCCGTCCGAACTGAGGGCTCCAAGAGCCTGAGAATCTGCAAGTCTGAATCCTCTCCTAAGCTATCAGCCCTGTGATAGTGCTGTGTAATCACAGAATTCACGTTTTACAGCAGTATGGTTTTAGTGGAGGAAGAAGTTAGTCAGCACCTACTACAACTTTAATTCTGCTTTAAATTTAAATGAAGCAAAATGAGGGACAGGATGGGGGTGCTTGTGGGTTAGGCATTTCTTGGTAAATGGCACAAAGTTGCACAGGCATAGGGAAAGTGAAAATGAATCATTTAAGAACTGCACATCAAGTGTTTGCATCCAGTCAAGCTGTTCCAGCTGATAGTGTCCAAAACAAATTGCATTTAAGAAAAGGTTTCAGAAGGGGAAGTTTGCAGCATTTATAACACTGAAAAATAATACCGTACTTGCATTTGTTTTTGTTTTAAATATGTCCAAATTGAATTGAAACGCAAAATAAATGATCCATTAATCATTTCTCCTTGTAAATACCTAGGTATTCTATTTATGACAATTTTGTAGCTGAAAACAGGAACAGCTACCTAAACAAAATCTGTTCCGCCCAAACACGTACAAGTTGTACCATTCTGTTAAAAATTATTTGTACTACTTTTATTTCTGAGTAATCTGAATTTTTCTTCTGAGAATTTATAACTTCAAATAAACCTAACTTGAATTAGATGTTAGGAGGAAATTCTTCACTCAGAGGCGGTGAGGTGCTGGCACAGCTGCCCAGAGAAGCTGTGGTGCCCCCATCCCTGGAGGTACTGAAGGACAGGTTGGATGGGGCCCTGGGCAGCCTGAGCTGGTGGGGGGCAGCCCTGGCCATAGCCCGGGGTGGGACTGAGCGGACTTTGAGGTCCCTTCCAACCTAAGCCGTAAGTGATTTTTTCCCACAACACTAAAAGATATACATAGAAAACATTAAGTCCAGCATCACTTGCACTCTTCAATCTTTTTCAATGAGCAGGTATGTTCTCTTTCTGACATCCTGCAGGTTGCCTTCCTCCTGCTCCTCTTTCAAGAAACAGAAGTACCACTTTCAAGGACTGAGGAATCAACTCTCTCCCAATCAACCCACGACAAAGCGAGACAGATTTTACCTTCCCTCCAGCGCTGCTGGCTGCAGGTTTTGGCACATTACAGGATCACCAGTTCTTTTTCATTTTTAATCACTGTTGATGATCTCAGTAATTTATCCATTTTAATCAACACAGGTTGCAAGCAGCCAAAGTAGATTAAGTGGATGAAAAGCCAGCTGGCTTAACAGAGCTTTGCAGCGGTGATTGCTAAAGGATGACACGAGCCCTGAAGTATTTTCAGGATCAAATCATTTTATGTCAGTGTCTCTGTGATACTTCCCAGGAAGGAGTTCACAGTGAGCACTTTACAACAGACTGCCATCATCTATTTAAAAATATAAAGAGAAAACTGAAAAGGACCACTACGGTTAATGATCCCACTTCCTTGCTGCCACAGGCACCAGATCAGGCAATCTCATTCATAAACTTACTGAGCTTCAACTCACAGCATTCCCTCCCTCTCTCCTCATGAAGTGTGCTTCTGGACTTCCCTGTCCAATGGATAGGGATCTTTTCAATGCCCAGCCTACCAGCTCAAAGCACAGTCCCTACTCCTCTTCAGGAATGCTAGATCCAGTGCATTCTTCCTGAATGTGAATGTCAGGCATACCTATCTGCACATTATATGGTACAATGCACCTTAAAAGCATTTGCATGACATTGCTAATGAATCTTGACCCCTTCTCCAAGCTGCTGAGTAAAACAAAGCATGCTATGGGAGCAGCACAGGGATGAAGTGATTGCTTTGGCTTGACCAAAACTGCGGCTACTACAGTTCAGCTCTGCCACTGAGACAAGCTCCTGTTTAGGCCACGGTTTCTTTGAGCTCTGAGGATTTAAGACCACACTGCACACAGTCACCACTACACAACCCTTTAATTTGGGTTTTCTGCAGCTTGCCCATCACTGCAGTATCTAAGCATGCTGCAGTGTGCTGCTGCATGAAGTGCCAAGTACCATTCAAAAACAAGACCAGACCAATTGGGAAGATAAAAGCTGCAGGAGTGCACAAAACGTTTCTAAGTCATCCACACCGTCTGCTGTTTTACAGGGTTTTTTTTTTACAGCTGTATTTCCAGTTGCTTAGAAATTGTGTGTGTGGCAGGGTTGGGGGTTGTTATGAAGGACGTTGAGAAGAACTGGCTGACACTTAAGGATGGTGCTACTGGAGAAAAAGCAAACAAAATGGGGGGCATATTTAGCTAGAAAACAAGGCTTTAGACCTTGGATTAGTACAAAAATGCTGTGTCTTAATCTTTTCAAACAGCAAATGCCTGAGTATCACAAAGGAAATATCAATGTTCTTTCAAAATTCAGTGGTCCTGGGTTTGGCGTGATTAAAATAATAGTTGGACTTAGCCCCAAAAGAAACTGATAAAGAATTTCTGTTCCAAAATCAGGATCACATTAAAATCCATCAGTAACTTAAAGGGTAATTATAGGCTTATGTGAGATTCCCCACAGAATTCAGGATTTGTATAATACGTTGAGAGGAGACAGGACACCAGGACTGATGGCTGTCCTGGGAAGCTTGCATCAGTGTTTCAAGAAAATTCAGAAACCCTTAATCCCAATAAGCATCCAGATTGTCTTACACTTGTCTCACTTTCTTAACCCTGAACACAAAACACACTGTCAGCTCAGAAATAAGGCAGAAAACATGGCAGAAAAGGGAACACTAGCAGCAATACTTGAAAAGGAACAAAAAAGAAAAATCCTTAAGTTGCCCCTGAGCCTACTAAATCCTCTGGATGGCCCAGTCATCCTAGTTCCACAAGTACAGAGGGAAAAAGCACAGGCATGGGCTTAAAATATGAAACAATTTCATGGTGCAGAAAGCCCTTCGGCTTGGAAAAGCAGGGGCAACTGGGAGCAATCATGAAGAGAGCTCTTAAAAGAAGTCCCAAGCAACACAGAAAAGACAAGTGAGAAATGGCTGCTCATGATCACTCTCAGAGTAAGAACTGGCCAGAACAGTTCCAGAACAAACTGAAGAGAGATCCCTTTTCCTACAGCATACAGCTTCCCTGTGAACCCCTCACAAAGCATCTCATAAATGTGAAAGCTTCACATAGCTTTTAAAAAGGACTGGATAAAGCAGTAGGAAAAAAAATAAAGAACAGTCTGCAAAGGGTCAGAAACACAATAACATTCAGAAAAGCAGCAACTGCAAAAATTAAATTCCTCTATCTTTTGATAACAGCTTCATTGTTTTATCTCAGTACATCATCACGTATGAAAATATTCCTAAATCCTAAATAATTAAAGATGCCACATGTTTCAATTACTTCTGCACGAATAACGGCAGTCTGAACAAAACCCACAGGCTCTGCAAACATTTCAACTCTTACAAACGTTTGAAATCACCAAGTTCCAGCACTGCTAGGAAAAAAGCTTCGAAAAAAAACAAAACAAAACAAAAAGATGCTGGGCACAAATCAATCTGCTAACACACTAACTTTAAAGGAACAATCCTCATGCCTCAGCTCCACTCAAATTAACAGAAGGCAGGGCACAGGGACTTCATTGTCTAGGATCTCTGCTTCCAGCTCCTCACCCCAAGCACCTCCATGTCTATTGTCCACCATACTCACTGCTCTTTCTTCCAACCTTTCACTGTTCCATTGCTTCCCTTGCTTCCTTCCTACCTACCTTCCTACCTTCACTACCTGTCAAGAGTTTAACTGACAGCTCACACAGAGCATGTCGCTGGGTGCCCATGTACTTGTGCACAATTACTTGTGCTCAGTTAAATACACTGATAACTCATCAATCTAAAGCTCATGCAAGGCAGTAACAGAAATAATGACCATGCTGGAAATGACCTGTTCCTCTACCAGCAAAAATACCAATGGGCACCACAGTGTGTGTCTGTAATTCTCACCACACTCCCATTTTCGCCTGAAACCAGAGCTACTTTGAGATGAAAACAGATCTGCCCAAAATTAATAACTAATAATGTAATAAAATATTATTATTATATTATTAATAACAACAATAATGTAATAATAATCGGGATACATTGATTATCCTGAATTAACTACCTAACCAGCCTGAGGACCAGCCTAACTCAATTTGTGTGCAGTTTTTAAATAGGCAAGCAGCTGTCCTATCGGTACCATGGTCTTTATAGCCAAAATGAAAAGAGATTAACTAATTCTAGGAGCTACCAAACATATTTTATTAAAGCTGCCACATGAAATAGCACCCTTTCATCAAAATTTTCCTTTAATATTATGCTTATGTGATTCTTAACGCACCACACTGAACATTCCAATACTGACATATCAACATGCACAGTTCAACACTGCTGTGCAAACAGATGCGTGAAATAAAAGCTTCTTGGTGAAAACTTAAACACAACATTCACTTTTTTTTTCCCCAGACAGAATGTTGGCTCTAAACCACAACAAAACCATCAAAAAAAACATGTCAGACAGAGGAAGCATTCCAAGGAGAGCAAAAGATGAGAACAGGCTTCTCTTCCTGCCATAGTTCAATATCAGTATTGCTTTACTGACTCTTCACAATGCTTTAATCAGGTTTTGCTTAAAAGCCAAAAGCAAACACAAAATCAGGAAGCCCAAGTGCTGTGCCTTCCACTCATTCAAACTTTGAATCCTATCATTTGCTTCCTATTTCCATTACTCACTCTCCTTCAAGGCTGCAACAGCAGGAAGGAAGTACACCTGGAACAAAGCTCTAACACTACAGATACACACCGTTCTGCTGCCATAAGCTAAGCAAAACAAGAAAAGCTCACCAGCAGAGAAGATCTTTTAAAAGCAGCACTAACCACCTGAGAAAAAGAAATGAGAAGAAATACAATTTACAGCTTCTCTGAATGACCAGAGGATCAGGTCAGGTCAGGTCAGAGAATGAGTTTTCTCTGCTCAAAAAGACACATGCTTCAAGGTAAGACTTCGCTGGCTAACAAAGGCTTAGTAAGACACAACCATCGGCCACGAAATAGCCACAAGTTCCAGAAACATGGCAGACAGCAGCAAGGCAGATAAAACCATAGTGAGCAAGCACTGAACTCTTCCCTTTTTCTTCTTATCAACGCGGAAACAAGGAATATAATTTTACTTTCGTCATCGCACAGTTGAGGATCCTGTTTACCAAATGTCTTTCTGACATGTATGTAGCAGTATTTTTGGACACACTTTATTTTCAGCATATCATAGCTAAGTCATAAAATGTCATAAAATGTAACCCCAGCAACCAAATTCTATTTCTACTGTGGACTAATAACAGTCTTTCATACATCTGACAGTACTTAGTAAAATGACTCATTTTACCTCATTTCAAGAAAAGCACCAGCAGCGAAAAATACACTAAATGAATGGTGATGGAATTTGTTAGCATTTGCTGTGAGAGAAGTTGCAGGAGAGCAAGAGAACTGCTGCCAACAAAAGGCTACACCATGCCAACCTGTTAGTGGATCCATTGTAGCAGTAGTTTGGAAGGAAATCGTAATTGAGTTCCCAAAATACATGAAGAGTGATTCGTCCGTAAGGGGCTGACACATTGTGATTGGCTTCCCTGAACATGGCATCGAAGCTGTCCAAGGTCATGTATCTGCTCAGAAGTTTGTGAGTCATTTTGTTTATTTCTATCAAGCCATCCAGCTCCTACAAAAAAAATAAATCAAGAGGAAAGAAAACAAGCAGTAAATTTAACAAAGGAGAGAACCTCAGCAAAGTACATAAATAGCCTTAATTGAATAGGAGACTATCAGTGAAAAATGGACAGCTGACTCCTCTCCAGTCTCTTAGTTCACTGGCAAAGCTGCAAGGAATCTGTGTTCCCAAGACTGCTATGTGTCTGCATCCCACCAAACCCTCTGAGATGCTGAGGGCATGACCTGTCTGCACTGCTGGCAGGTGTCTCAAACACAGACATGGGCCAACTAAGCTAAAGTTAGAACTCTAACACTTAACTGGAGTCAGAAACAGATCAAGAAACAGCTTCTGCATTTCCTACATTACAAGCATCTGCAAAGTTATTTCTGCTGGGCAGAGCAACTGGTGACCAAACTTATGTAGTAGTACTGCTAGGGATAATACTAGATTTATCATAAATCCTTCTCGTGGTTTAGTCAGGTAAAGAGCTTACTAAGAGGCAATAAAAGATGAGCCATTTACAAATGGAGGGAAAGTACCTACAGAATCACAAGCTGTGGATTATACATATGGGCACTGCCTTTCATAATGTTTTTTCTGTTGACAAGACATTTCCAAGTACGGTTTCTGGCACTTTCTTTTAAATAAACTACAATAGAAACAATGCATCTTTGACACCGGACACTGAAACACTCCTTATGGAACTTATTTACTTATGTTATGTTACTTATGGAACAGAGCACTGAGCTCATTAATGACCAGAGTTGATCTAGCAATTCCAAGGCAAGTTACAGCACAGCCTCTAACCAGTATGTACCAAGGAAAAAAAAAAAAAAAAAAGGAAAAAAAAATTAAAAGCAGAGAACACAACCTTTCATTCCAAAAACCACCAACGAGCATTGCTTATAGTTGTGCAATGACATATGAAAGAATATCCAGGGGAGACTGGTCTTCATTTGACTATGTAGATATATTCCCATACAGTGCTATCTGATTCATCTGCTCCATTTTCCAAAGGATTTTCAAACTTGTGAGTGACAGTTAACTTAAGAAGACAAAAAGAACCACTATGATCATTGCAACAGCACTGAGTCCAATCTGAGAGCAGAGATAGATTGATCTTTTAATTGCCTTCATTTATTTAGCTTCAAAAACAGCAGAAGTTATTTACAAGTTAAGCTATTAGTACCAGTTTCTCATAGAGGAAACTAAGCAGTTTTCAGCAGAAGTGATTCTGTGTAAAACCAAAGAAAAAAAAGGGAAGATGGCAACAGGGGAATGGATGGCAACTTAGCCCTGTCAATCTCTACCTCAAAGAAGAGTAAGAGCCTATGACCTAAGAATCATCAGTGGCTTCTGTTCACTTAGCCAGTAACAAAACTACATTTAAGTAATTCAAATGTTAGAACACCATGCTCTGAAATGTCATGAAAAACCTGACTCCTACCCATTTCAGGGCCTCAGAATTCTATTTACCCCCAGTAAAGGATGACATGAAATTGGGCGAGTTAATGCACGTCAAAATCTCACAGGTGAAAAAACAAACATATTACAACAAGACTGACAGTAAACTTTCATTCCAGCAGAACAGAATATAGCTTACAGCTGGCATTTCTGACTGAACATTAACTTGTCAAATTCATGCAGTTTGGCAATAAAAATTGCCCACAAACATTTTCATCAGGAAACTAACTCAAAAATACACCTCAGTATTGCACAGATGCTCTCCTTTCACATGCCAGATCTCATCCCTTCGCAAGAAAAGCTTACCTTGATTTTGTCATGCTACAGAAAACAAGCTGGTGGGCTAAACAAACTCCTTTTGATTCTACCAGGCGCAGTGTTGTTTTGTTTTGGTCTGCAGAATATGCATAAGCACACACAGAAGTGGGCATTTCCAAAAACTTAAGTCATGAGAGTGCTTACTCTCCTTGCCTGCTCATAGCTCCTAGAATACACTTTCTCTACAGGTGCTGTTTACACTTAGAGCTCCTGTGGAGCTCAGCCTCTTCCCCTCTCTCCAGGTGTGACCATGCAGTTAATCACTGAGAGAACACCTAGAGGGCTTCCAGCCAAACTTGAGATTGTTTTTTTCTTTTTTTTTCCTTCTACCATTAAAAAAGGAACACATGCTTTTAATGAGAAAAGTGAAAAAAAAAAAAAAAAAAAGGTGGAACACTCACCACAATGGAAGTCAAATCCTCACTTTCAAATCGACCAATTGCCAGCTCCATTGATCTGTACATAGCTGCTGAAATTCGCTGAGTGATCAATCGGTTCAGGTCTATTGACCTACCAAGAAGCTGAGGAAAAACTGCCATTAAGCTTTGAACTGAACATCAAATCACAAGACAAGCTGTACACGAACTACAAGGTTCCACAAATTAATAGACTTTTAAACAGTGGATTTGCATTCCAAACACACAGAAACAAAGTATATGGATAACATTTATAAATCCATGAATAAATGAGGTGTTACATTTTATATCTAATTTCTCATAAAAAGAAGTAATACCACATGCAGTATTCTTATCTAGGTATATATGTATCATCACTTAATGGCTTCATTACATTGTGCCAACAACACATTAAAAAAAAAATGTTGAAAGATGTTATTAGGAAGACAACATTACTACACACATTTCTCCTATTTGGCTTGCATTTGCTTAACTTCAACACATACTTGCAACTAAAGTGGGATCCTTTAAGATTTTAGTTAGTTTATTCCTCCTACAGACAAAAAAACCTTATCTCAAATGTCACTTCTGCCACTTACAAAGCAGAACAGAAAGCACAGAAATAGTTTTGCGTATCTACGGAAATCAACACCACTGGAAAAATGCCGAGCAATGCAAATACAAGAACATGAGTTCACTCACCTGGACGTGTCTTTGCTTCAGCAGCGTCTCATAGCGGTTGGACTGCAGCAACTGAATGGTTGCTCCCTGATTCTTACATTCTGAACGCAAACGTTTATCCAAAAGCAGGCTATCAAGAAAAGAAAGCGAAGAGAAAAGTATAGCAAACAGCAAACCCAAGCACGAATAAAAGTTCTTGCTACTGAAATATCTACCTGCCAGCCATTGCCTTGTAGTATGCAAATATTTGGTCTGCCAGCTTGTAGACAAATTGGTCAAAACACAGGTTTACCTTAGGAGAGAGGAAAAAAAGTGTATTTATGGCAACTCAGGAACTTCTCCAAGACTTTCCACCACTCAGTAAATACAACTAGAAGAGTTAACATTTCTGAAGATCCTTGCACAAGAGAAGATGACATTCAGCCTTCATCATTAATGTGAAGGGTTTTGTAAAGATCTACACATGTCCTTGCAATGCATCAGCAAATCAATCATCTATATGCTGTCTTTGCAACTTGTTCCTCATCGCCATCTGTTATGAATCTTTTGCAATAGGTCTCATCCTTAAACTCAGCCTACTTAGAGGAGGCTAAGGGGAGACCTTATTGCTCTCTTCCAGTATCTGAAAGGTGATTACAGCAAGAGTGGGGTTGGTCTCTTCCCACTGGTGACAGGACAAGGGGAAATGGCCTCAAATTGCACCAGGGGAGGTTTAGGTTGGATATCAGGAAAAACTTCTTTACAGGAGGGGTTGTTAAAACACTGGAATAGGCTCCCCAGGGAGGTGATTGAGTCACCATCCCTGAATGTGTTTAAAAACCATTTGGGTGTGGTGCTCAGGGACATGATTTAGCGGAGGGTTGTTGGAGTCAGGGTAGTATGGTGAGGTTGTGGTTGGACTTGATGATCTTTAAGGTCTTTTCCAACCTGAGCAATTCTAGGATTCTATAATTCCACATTAACATACAGACTACTTTGCTCCTGTAGGTAAGGTTGCTTTACCTCTGCCTCAATCTCATCATAGAGGAACTGCTTCTTAAATTTAGTAAGCGCATAATGAGCACTGTCATTATAAAGGTCCAAAGAATACAGAACATACCTGAATGAAAACAAACAAACAAACAAAAATGTTACATATCTCTAGAGATGCGGCTCTTCAAAATGGTTAAGTCAACATACTTAAAGCTTGTGAATACTATGACCTACATGTGTGTCATGTAACCAAGATTTTTTGTTCTTGGAGTTTATATACAGATTCATACTTGCTCATTTAAGAAAGTCTTTTGTTAATTTAATAATTTTTACAGATACGTTTGCAGTCTGAAACTTGCTTTGCAGATACAGTTTTTCATCAAGTGAAACCATGCCTGCTCTTAGTACCCTAGATTATATTGAGTAGGTAATCAATTATGTTGATTATATTGAGTTATTAATAAGATCTACTGCAAAATAAGCATAGAAGGAGAACTCATCCAGGGAACAACACATTTAGCCACTGCAATTACATTTATATTAAATACTTAATATTTTATTCACTTTGGAAAAAAAAAAACAAACACTGTGAGTTGTGGAAGTAAGCAAAGAGGAAAACTGTATGACGGTTTAGAATACCTTCTCAGTGACTGCTTGTTAAAATCAATTAAAGCAGTAACATTATAATAAAGAGTGGCAATCATTAAGAATAATCATTCAGTGGAAGAGCACGAGTAGGTCTTACTCCATCATTGACGCCTCTTTGGTCTCCAAAATATGGTCTGTCAGAATCCAAGGCATTGACATCTCAATGGGAAACTGGATTCTTCTTCCCATGGTCAGCTCTAAGAAGAATTCCCTGAACCACAGCTGGGACAGATCACAGCACTGCTGCAGGGTTTCTTTCGGGATAAATAAGGCAGAATTACACTTCTTACAGAAGTACATCAAGGAGAATACAACTGTGATTCTGATGATGCAAGGTGAAACAAATAAAAGCAGGCGTTGAGTCATACACAAGCCAAATGTGTAAACTCAATTCAAAATGCAGAGCCCATGACTTTCTGAAATAGTTCTGAACTCCATGTTGGCCCCCAAAGAGGTGCCTTATTACAAAAAATACTGTGGGAGTGGACCAGACTACCAGTTAAATGGAAAAATTCTGCACACCATTATGGGGGGCTTCTAATTTAATTTTTCATTTAGGGTCTGCTCCTCGACAGTGCGCTGAACTTGGGAAGTAGCTGGTGAAGGAGACAACACAGTACTGGGACCGTTAGTACTATCCATCCTTATGGAGGACTGAATCACTCCACACATCTCTGTTCATCAGACAGGTCGTAAGTGACACACAGACACATGAAGAAGGGATTAAAACAAAAAGTTTCTAAGGCCACTGTCAGGGACACAGATGTACGTTTTCCCACCTCTCCAGTAAACACTCAGCACAAGCCTTCATTTGTGTAAGGCTTCAGAGCCAAAACAAAAAATAAATTTTTTACATTAAAATCTCCAAAACTGAACGTGCTGCTCACCAGCAACATTGTAACAGAAATTAACAGGCTCCCCCTTCTTTGAGGGTAAAGGAGTCCAGTAACAAAGCAAAAATGAAAGACAACACAGCATGGTGATGACAAAGACTAAATACATTCAATGTCAGTAGGTGAATTCTTTAGGACAGCATGTTTCCGATTACAATTAACTGAATAGTAAAAGTGGTGAAATGACATCAAATTTACCACAACAGAGAATCCATTTCCTCTGTACTTGGGAAAAAAAAAAAAAAAAAAGAGAAAAAAAAAAGAGAAAAAAAACCCAAAACACAAAAACAACTTTCTTTTAAAAATTTCAATGCACAAAGAATTATCTGTCCCTTGTTTGCATGAATACATTTAAAAAAAAAAAATGAGGCAACAATATGAAATTTGACCCATTATAAATGAATGTGTTACGAGTCAAAATAAACCTACCACAATAATGAATAACACATCTCAGAAAACATTTGGACAGACCAAGGTTTTTTGATCAATAAAACAACAGTAAGTTGGCTGAGGCAATCGGAAACATTTCCCAGGTTGTGTTAGAGGTGTTAGGACATGCTAAGCTGGACACTGATCATCTCCATATCTTACCACTGAAATTTATCAAATGAGTGTAGAAGAAAGACTCGCGATGGAATTTTTCTATGTCCAATATGGTGGGTCCCTCAAGGCTACTTCTCAAGGTTTTCTTGGAACCACTTTTGTCAGCAATGAGGGACTCTAACATAGTTCTCACCATGTAAAGCTGTATCATTAAAGGAAACAATTGTGGTGGAAGGGGGGAAAAAAGGAAAATACACACGGCACATTAGTTGAGCAACACTGAGAATGACTATCAGTAAGCGACTGCTCCACTTCAAATTGAAAACTGGCACTGTGTGGGCAAAAAGCCTTCAGGCAAGAGGAACGGATGCAGCGCTAACCTACCCAGCAGCACAATGCCTACCCACACCAAGGGACCTCCACTGACTCTGAGCAGCAGACCATTTGCAGTGGAACAGTTCACATCACCACAAGAGTAGAAGTAATAAGTAACGTCTTACCACCAAAGTTTAACAGAGGCGGATAGATGTAGGACTGCCTCAGAAACTTGTGTGTCATTTGCAATAGCTTTTCCAGTCCCAGAGCCTTGAGCTGCTTCAACAGCTCAGCAGAGTTTAAGGACTCTGTCATAGTGCGAACCATGTAGAGCTAAAAACCAACAGACAGGGGCAGGCAGGGGAGAGAGAATCCGTTAATAAAAACACACGGGTAAATAAGGAAGGGGAAACAGAAGCAGAGAAATTGTGTTAGTTTGTTAAAAATGAAAAGCAGCACGGTAAGCATGCAAAGGAAACTAATACACTTCTAAAGCAGAAAGGTTTCTTCCTTCAGAATAATTGTTGCCATCCAGTGCTCCCTGAGGAGAATGGAAAAATCACCATTCACCTCAGCAGATGTGGAGCCAGGCCCACAGCTGTTGGCTTCTCAGAGTATTTCACAGAGATTTCCAAGCATATCCAATTTGTAAATAGCCATTTTAGAACTGCAGGAGATTGAGATAGAAGTACCTAGAGCGGATAGCTTTGATCTCCTCCCCTCAGCAGAGACAAACAAGTGTGCCACCCCAAGAGCAGAAATGACAACAGAACCGTGTGCTCTAACAAGCCTGTAGCTGCCACTGAAACAAAGCTCTCAGACACACCAAGTGTAGAGAAACACACTGATGAATATATATATATATATATTTTTTTTTAAGTTGATTGTATTTCCCTCAGAAAATTAGAAATCAAAACAAAATCTTCATTAGAATCATCCTAGTAAAACTTAGGCAGTCTTTTACTACCCAAGAGTGTTATCCACATGGGTTCTCTTCCCCACTGATGTATATAAGAATATTTGATTTACAAACCACAGTGGCCTTCAGTTTTTCACCCAAAGTGCTTGGTACCTCATTTTCTCAGTTGGACTATGAATACTCAGGCCATACACTCTCCAAAACAAATTTACAAATAAAATAGAACAGGAAATTACACAGAGAAAACAAAACCAGCATCTAGGTATGGGATTTTGATGACATTTTTGATGCCACAGAAAATGCACTTGAAATACTATTAATAGTAGCATAATGATATACAGATTTTAGGGAGCAGTTTCTTTATTCACTGCTGAACAAGATGAGGGATCTTGTCAAGATTCAAATACTCTCCCTTGCTTTATATTTAAATTCTAAATATAATTTAAAACTATAATTTAAAACTATAATTTAAAACAATGTAATTTATGAGATTTAACTAAAAGAACCAGCCACATGAGGGAGAATCTAAAATGGAAACAGTTAAGAAATAATCAAATCATTCCAAAATATCGCATTAAAATATTAGGAGCTCAAGGAGAAAATATTTCTTTGCAGTGAGTCAAATTGCAGAGATGGAACACTTGGAAAACCACGCATCTGAATAGAAAGTGACAGCAACCCAGACAGATGATTTGGTTAAGTATACGTCATTTTGTAAATATAAAACTAATCAAAGTAGATTTTGAACATTCCAAAAGAAAACTGCACTTTAAAGTAGTTTAGCCAGAGAGAAAATGTGATGTGCTATCATCACTGACAAGTACCACAACCATTAGATGGGAACATACCTGAGTACTGGAGGGACCCACCGCACGCCTTGGGACTTTGATATCAAAGCCACTTTTGGGGTCTTTTTCTCCTCTTAGAGCTGGGTCATTGAACGGTTCATGACCTGCTTCCCAGTCACAGACTGTCTTTCTGATGGCCTGCAAAACACTAAACAGAATTCACACCGCTTCAGACTTGCACGCATCCAAGTGCGCAGAAACTCTGCAACGATGCTCTGGAGTTCAGAGGAACTCAGAGGAAAAAACAACTTTGCCAACAACTTCAAGACGGCCAGATCCACGTGATAATAATTCTACACTGTTCCCTCAAAAAGAGTAGTCCAGAGCACTCCTCCTTTGTCCCAAAGTCGACCTATGAAACTGGTTCAAAACCCAATTGTCAGAAATTTGCCTTTGTGATCCTTAGTGAGTGCATCAAGCCATTTTGTACTCGTGCACCATGAAATGCTGGCCAGTTAATCAAATAAAACCACACTAAAACAAGACAATTTGAGCTGGAATTGAAAAAGATACTTCCTGTTTCCTGCAGAACTCCTAAATTCAGCTGGATTTTATACAAACGTTACACTTTAACTAAATTGAGAGTAAACAACTGATAAAGAAGTTAAGCTTAAAATCAAACAACTAGGGACACAAAAATACAGTGAAAAGTCATAGCAATCAGTGTGGGACAGAGCATTTGGAAAAGAAGTGGAAGGCTAATAAGGTAGAAGCAGAAGAAGTGAAGAAATAAGGCAAGATGCCAAGAGGGCAGAGAAAAGACTATGGGATGTAAATATCAGACACAAGGAAACACCTGAATCATAAGGAAGGTGGACAGCAACAATTTTATTCAAAATAAAAATACTGGTCTTTCTTTAAATATTACAGTACTTATCTTTCCTTAGGATAGAAATAAACTACAGGCAATCCTGTTAGAAGAAATCCTGAGGTAGTGCAAAGAAGCTCAAGACAACCTGGACTCCTACCTTAGCCATACTGGCAGTCATCCACTCTGACTCCCAACATACAGTCAGGCAAGCTAACTCGGAATACCATACAGACTACAAAGGGAGTGTGGATTCAAGAGGCAAAATTTATCAACTGTGCAATTTTAATAAGAGTTGGAGAAAAAAAGTACAGGGAGAGATGAGAAGAAGAACATTACCTCTGAATGACATTTTTCTTTTTTTTAATCGCTTGTCTTAATGGCTCTCTAAGCGTGACCTGGGCAAAGTCCTGAAGAGCTGCATAAATGGTATGGCGAATGGCATGATTGAAAACACTTTCCATCCTTCCCATCAGCACCTGAAGACCTTTGATCATGGCAATCACCTGGAAAAAAAAAACACAGTTGTTTTTTTTAAATTTTGTTTGTATACTTGTTCAAAAAGTCATTTTTTTTCAATATAGAAAATGAATGAAGAGGAATTAACAAGTTCAAAAAGGTAGAGGAGAAAGGCAGTCTGAAGAGGCTAGTTTTCCTGTACCCCTTCTGTGCTTTGAATGTAGGAAAACATGCACTTTCAGAGTCAACATGGGCATAGAAAATGCTTTCAGAGAATGTTCTCTTTTGTATGGAATTAATCTTTGGGAAATCCATCTAAAAAGAAAAAGGAAAATTTCTTACCTCAACCAAAGCAAACTTCTCCTCACTAGTATAATTGTATCTTGTTGCTCTTTCATACTCTTCTGCATTGTCAGGACAATCTTTATTAGAGTATTTGTCAGTTGGGTGTACCAGCTTCCATGAGTACTGCAGTTCACAAAATGGAAGAGGGAGAAGAAAGATGGAAACAAAAAAGGCCTGATAAACAAAACATACCTGAGCACAAATAATATGCTTATAAAATACTCTGATGTTTTCAAGAACATCTGAAAAATATCTGGTACTATTCTCAAAACCTACATAAATTCTGAAACAGCACATGATGTATGTAACAAGGTTATGGATACTGAGTTATTAACAAGGTTGATGGATACTGAGTGTGCTCAGAAAACGGATCAATAAGTGAGATACTCCATGCCAGGAGAAAATCTCAGTGGGAGGGCAGAAGAACTTATGTGACAAGCACTTGAGGGAATCCATACAAATCAGACAAAGAAAAGCATGGACCTAAAATTGGCAGTGGTAAGAGGTAAAACAAACAAACAAACAAAAAAAAACAACCAAAAAGCCTACAAAAGTAAGCCCCAACTAAACAACTGCTGTGGTTTGTTCTGGAACTGGGAGTATAAAGACGGAGGTAAAAATGAGAGATTTCTACAGAGGTATAACAAATAGATCAAAGGATCAAATCTGTCTTCTCTCATACAATATATCACCTGTTTCAACCCCTTCTAAGTTGTGCTTTGCCGTAGGTAAGACGCACAGCCTTTATCTAAGTAAGAGTCTGGAATATATGAAGCATTCCCACAGTCTCCTCTTCAGTTTCTGCATTAAACAGTTTCTGATTGAAAAAAAATATATAAATGGCTACTTTTCTAACTAGCATCTGTTTTTAAAGTAAGTTATTAAAATACAAACCACTTTGCAGGTTATTTCCTCTCCCTCATCTCTTCTCAAATTTTATATTATCTACATTTATCAACTAAAAGTCTTCCTTATTCTTCTCCCATTGGCTAATGGAAGCCCTTCCATCTTTTCTGTGTGTACAGTTAAGATGTCCCACACTTCAGTTTACTAAGTGACAGCATCTAACCATAGCCAACTGAACACACTGACTTCCTATGTGACTGCATGTAGGTAATACATGACATATATGGAAAAATAAATGAAGTCAGTCTACGAAACATGTGCCAAGAGCAACATAAAAAGCAACTGATCAAGGGTCACAGGTGAACACCTATCCAGTAAATGTAAAAAGTTAAATGTAGTGTATGAGAAGGCACATGCTACTGGATATTTCAAGCAGTAACATTACTCCTAGACTTTGAGAGCTGAGGTGCTGCTTTCCTCTGGGAACAGACTGAATCAGGAGAAAAGGAGTGCAGGAAAAAAGAGAATTAAGAGAACAGTACATAACATGCATTTTTTGTTCTCTTAAAGCAAAGCCTGTCCAACCTCATTTTCATCTGCTTTCCTTCTTCAGAAAACATACCACTTCCATGACATGTGCACTCCACTGAGAGAGAAGCTGCAAGCCTTGGAGAGAAAGATCAAAGAGCTTCCGATACTCTGCATCTGTTTTTTGAGCTTCCTGTCGGCCAGAACCAGTCACCACCTATGATGTTTTTAAACAAGCAAACAAAAAAAATTAAAACACCTTGTGTACAACATTTCAAGTCACATTTCTCAATATTTTTTTAAGCATTACACAGCATCACTTATCAAGACGTGGGTACAAAAGACCAGTAAAAGTTTTTTCTTTTAAAGAATTATCTCATTACATTTCACAGACTTTGGTCAAGAGATAGAAACCACAAGGACTCTGTATCACCAAAATATCACTGCAGACAAACTTAAGACACTGATTATATATTATATACGCATGTGCACTTGATTTTAGTTTTCAACTCATCTCTTAAATTATAGCTTCACTCAAAGCATTATGGGCACACATTTGGAGTAAAGGTTAGACAACCTATTCCCACAGAGACATGTCAAAAATTTCTGGGATACACAGACAAACAGAAGATGTCTGCAGTTTGTATGATGTATCAGAGTTTAAGATTTAAAATTTAAACAATATCATGCTGGGGATGGGTACCAGCCTTGCAGCCAGCTTTTCTTGAGTCAGGTCCTTGAGCTCTATCCTTTACCCAGCCTGAGATTTGCCTACTTTTTAGATGTTCTACAATAACTGCTAGCCAGTGATGTAAAATCTGCGCAAATAGCTCTAATCTCCCACACCTCACTGTTGCTGTAGCGAGCCAGTTCTGATATGAAACGCATATGGTCTTCTCTGATTTGGATCATCTGCTCACATATATTGTACTGGGGACTGCTGCTGGAAGACGTGCACGTCCATCTGTTGCAGAAGACAAAAAAATCTCCAATCAGTTGATGCAATAAAGAGTACAGCTGATACTAAAAAAGAAAGAACAAAAGATGAGTGACTCATTTTTTTTCCTTAAATCCTCCTTCTCATCCACGTGAGGCCTTTCCTCTCCTCTTTCACTCTGCTGCTGCTGTGAAATACAAACTGCCATCTCTCTTCAGAAGCACACACTTAGGGACAGGACCAAAAAGGACTGAAAGCCTGGGCAGAGGGACAAGTATAGGAGGCCATAAGATGTTTAGCTGCTTTCAGCTTGTTTTTCTTCATTCATGTTTAACTAAGAAGAGCTTACAGTATGCTCCAAATATAAAAAATAGTTATTATTAAATACTATTAACATGTTATCAAGAGAGACACAAAATACATGCTACCAAATATTGTGTTAAACAGCCTCATACTTTTAGTAGCACAGCAGGTTCGCTACTATTGATTTTCTCTTAGCAATTACATGCAAGTTACATTTTTTTTTCTGCAGGAATTAAAATGCAAAGCACTACATTCTAAATTCACATAACTGCACGGAGGGAAGGTCTCAGAGGAGCACAGGAACATTTGCTAAAATAAAGCAATAACCATAACCCATGGAACAATTTATATAAAACATCTGCATTTTCCAGCCATTTTGCTGTGTTGTACTCCTACCAAAACAAAGAGGGACACAAGCTAAGTTTCTGCTCCATGTACAATATACACATGCACTACTGCTCACCTTGCTTAGTATAATCCTTCATTTCTTTTAAAGAAAGTTTCATATTTAAAGGAAAAAATAAAAATTACATTAGTGTAAGATAAATTTTACATCCTCCAACTCAGGTGAAAAACAATGCCACTGAAGCAAGAAATAACTCAGCAGCACAGAAAGATTTTTAAATAACCTGTCCTTTACATTGTATCTACTATGTGAAGTACATTAATAGTGAAATACCCACACCAAAAAACAGACCAAGGTGAAAATCCTATTAATGTAATTATTACAGATTATCAGGTGATTATGAAATTATACTTCATGGGTCTGACCTTCCCCAGCCCACATGCTCCCCTCTCTGTATCCTCGTCCTACCTACCTGGATTTGTTTTCCTCATAATGAGCACTTGTCTTGATGTATCTTGCAAGTTCAATCTGCATATCACCAAAGAGCGGGACAACCTGCAGCTGCTGTACATAGGGAATAGATCAGATTAGATAAATGATGAAATATGCACCTTAGTGAAAGGAAACTGCTATTTACCCAATGACAGTTTCAAAGTCATCTTTGTTTTATTTGATTTTATTAATCTGGATGTATATTTAAAACGCAGCGGGAATTGCCTTCTACATTACACATTAGGAAATGCTTCTCTTAACCAACCTTGAAGAATTTGTCAATCTTGGCTAAATTTATCCTCTTTTTTGCATCCAGCTTGTAGATGTTACTGACACTTCCATCCATCAGGTACAATCCAAAGCCCATAACCTGGCAAAAGAAAAAAACCAAACCTCTCTGCAAAAGGAGTTCAGGGGTATAAACATGCTGAAAATATTTGTTATGAGACAAACATTCAGCGTTTACTCCATACCTTTTCATTCACTGCAAGACACACAGTAGATAATATCAACCAACTTCACATTACCTGGCACTCTTTTATTAGACGTACTTATACCTCATACTTATCGCTCATTTTTTCTGCTTACTAACCCTAATTTTTAAGTTACTTGTTACTTATGATACATAGCATCAGCTTCAGAAGCCTTTTGCACAAATTTCCCACCTATCTAGAACTAAAATTTCCTAGTTCCTTTCTGTTGTTGCTATACTTCACAGAGACGTTAGTATAATCCTTCATTTCTTTTAAAGAAAGTTTCATATTTAAAGGAAATATGCAGCCTTGTTAGGAAACACAGCATTCGTTTCCTAACAAGGCTGCAGTTCAGTTAGACTAACTTCAATTTATGAAAAACAAAAATGGATTAGAAGTTTTCTTAACAGATTTAGTGTTTAAAATAAAAGAAAAAAAAAAAAGAAAGACAAAGACACTGAAGAATAAAAACAAAGGGCAACATTTGAGTTACGTGGTTCATGTGGTTCTGGCAAAAGGAAACAAAAATCCAACAAGAATGCAAACATCTTTGTTCTGCTTCAACCTTTTTTTAAGTTTGTACTGAAAAGAAACTCACTTTCAACAGCATGTGTTTCTCGCTGGGGGTTAGATACATTTTGTTTTCATAGTAGTCCACACACAAATTCACAATATCTGCAAGCAGTTCTTCATAGCCAACAATCACTTCCAACTGCTGCTGTAACGACTGACAAAAAAGAAGAAAAGGACATGAGTCAAGAAGTTACAGTCCCACAGGATCAGCAGCTACTACCAAAGTGAAAGGGTTTTCTTTTAAAGGCTTCATACAGCATTCGGTATTTTGGAAAAAGACAACTAAAGCTTACTTGTGTTATCTTGTTGTGGTTTGCAAGGAACATGGAAAGATTCTGGGACTCTTGAATGGATTGAGGATCTGCCATTTTCCGTAGAAACTGAGCAGCTCTTTGCAAAAAGAAGAAAACAACAACCATATTTCCTTTCAGTGGCACTGCTTGTACGCAAATTCATCCCCGCTCAACAGAAACACATTTGTCTCTGCATCTACCAGGTAGTCAGCAGAACTCCAAGACATCAGCAAACCTGAAACTGTCAGTACAATGGCAACGCCATTTGTTGCTTTTACAAGGTTGTTGACCTTAGCATTGCTACCTCCCATCTCATGAATAAAGCAGAAAGAATTTGACACATAAGGCCAGTGCCTTCATGCCACAGCTTCACAAGAACATATTAGCCAAACCTACCCTCTTATTGACAACCTCTTAAGAGCAATGCTGAAATATCATAAGAACAACTTTGATTTACAAGCATCAAAACTGGATGCCAAAAACTGGAATAGAACAAAAAGTCAGCTTTCTCTGAAACTTGAAAAGCAGTACTGAGCAATGCGTATCCAATAGATGTAGTGAACACCAAGATAGAAGTATTTGCCTGTTTTGCCTTGAAAGACAGAAGAATCTTTAGTTGCTGGAAGAGCAGCATAAAGAAAGTCAATTCAGTCAACAGTTTAGCTGCAGTAACTGCAGAAAAAGCTGTCCAAAAAGGAGCTACTGCTGCCATCTTGTGGGAGCTCTGTCTCCCCACAGCATAAATCCTGATCCCATCCTGAACAGCTTACCTCTTGTAGGCTGAATGGTCATTTTTCACACTGCACTTCATATTTTTCAGCTCATCCAGTACTGCAAACATGTTGATAAATTTGCCCAGTGTGATCAGATACGCTTCAGAGACAAAGTCTTTTCTCCTCTCTGCATGGCACAAGCGTCTCACCTCCCCACAAAACCGTTCAATTGCATTTCTCTAACAGAAAACAAAAGAGACGAGTCAGGGAGTAAAAGCCATGATGTTTCCAAGAAAGATTTATCACACACAACTGGAGATCTGACACCTGTCTGTCCTCCCCTCTAGGTGAGGTCTTCCACTGTCACAACGGTCCACTTTGGTGCACCTGCAAGAGCTAATGAAAAGCACCACCGAAGCAGAAAAACATTTAAGGCATGTGAGGCCAACAACACACCAACACAGCCTTTCCAGCTTCACCTCTGTGTACTACAAGTGTCATAAAGAATTTTAGCCTGGCACAACTGGAAATATGATTAGCAATTTAAAGTCAGAAAAAATAAATCCCTTTGAAACAAGTGATTTTATATCAGAATAGTGATTAATGCTAGCACATGCCAATTTGCAAAACCATGCTTGCAGATGGTTATTTGAGGGCTTATTTCCAAGTGTACACCAGGACCCTCTGAGATTACAAGTACAAGTAGAAACTTCAGACACAAAGAGGAATCTGTTCTGAGTTTAGGGCAATAACCTCAAATGAAAGGAGATTTTTGTAGTCAGTAAGATCCATGAGTTTAGGAAGATGACAGAAAATGCTACATTGCATTCATTCTCCTGTGTGCTCCATGGTTTGCAAGCTCTAGTTGCTCTGGCTTCCTCAGAAAAATGCCAAGAAACATCCTCCATTCATTGAATAAAGTGGCAAGCTGCTTGCACAGGAGGAGAGAGCAAGACAAATGGCTGTTCTCTAGTCTATATTTAGTTTGGGTGGCTGGCAGGTCAGAAAAACTGTGTTAGCTTGCTTCAAGGATGAATTTCTGCAGCGAAGTTGCACTGGGTGCTATGATGTCGAGGCTTGTAGAACCCTCAACCACCCAACAAATGGTCTCTGTGCCTTGATGGCCTTATGTATACACATGAGATGTGTTTTATTTCTATTTCCTTTCCTTCCAAGTGTCAGGAACCATGTGCCATTATCTTCTATTTTATGCTCAAAGTCTTAATGGAGGAATCTCTTTTCGGTGGTGTGCAGCAATAGAACAAGAGGCAATAGGCAGAAAGTGGAACACAGGGAATTCCATACAAACACAAGGAAGAACTTATTTACAGTGAGAGTGGTGGAGCACTGGAAGATGCTGCTCAGAGAGGTTGTGGAGTCTCCTTGTCTGGAGATACTCAAGAACCACTTGGATGCCTCCCTCTGAGACCTGCTGTAGGAAACTGCTTTAGCAGGGAGTAGGATTCAACAATCCCTAGAGGTCCCTTCCTACCCCTATAATTCTCTGATTCTTTGAAACTCCTGAAGTTGTTAAAACAGGCATTAGAAATGCTGCCCTTCTGAGAGACCTTTTTTCCCCCAAAATATAACAATTAGGTTGAGTGACCGAGCATACAATATTAAGCATACAGAATAAGCATATAAGCTTGCTAACAAATTTTCTATTCCTTTTACCTGGAAATACATAAAATTCATCAGTTTTGTGACTTCTGGCTCCAGCACTTCCACAGTTTTCTCATAAATTTCTACTCTGTTAGGCTGCTCGTTGCACTTAACCTGAAGACAATTAGAGAGATCGTTACACTTACAGCTTTCCCCGATACAAAATTTCCCTCAGAAACTAAGATCCCAAATGACAAGCTGGTAAATGTATTATTATCACCTTGACAATACAAATTTACGGCATCTACTGCTGGCTTTACTAAATCTATGCCATTCTTCTAAGATTCATTATGAGTTTAAAAATATAAATTGAGATTTTTTCTCTATTTTCTCTATTCTTTGCACTTTTGCATAAAAATATTTGCAAGCTGTTGCCAATTCACAGTTTCACTTTTGGTCAGTTTCCTGATGCATCTTAACATTCTTCCCATCCCATCACCGTATCACCAATCCCAGACATGTATTCACAGGATTTAATTTTTGTACACAGATCAAGAAAACTCTGCATAGCTCTGACAAGAAGAGAACGACCCATCTAAAAACCTAGAATGTTTAACACAAATGCTAATTATTACATGCTATAACACCTGTTAAACCTGCTCTGAATTTAAATATCTGGGGGAAAAAAGCAAGACGTCCAACCAGTTCCCAAGTGTTAAAACACTATTCTACAGCATGCACAGCTTGCTAATTCAGGGATCAAAGCAAATTTCAGAACTCATTACTAAATCTCTAACCAAAACAAGATGGAAGTCCACATGCTGCATGACGGTTTAATTTTGATTCTTTACCTGGGGAATGGCTCTTGAGCAGCTCCTCCATGTATATAACATGACAGCATATTCCTGGCCCTCTTCTAACATTTCATTCTGCAAGAGAGACACTTGATAATAATAAGGCATTGTAAAATAAAGGAGTTAAACTCAATTCTCTGCCATCATTCCAAAGCAAACTATTTTTCTTATTCAAAAGTGTATGTGCAAACATATATTGCAAGCTAAATGATATACCTTACTGCATATGTGTGAAGTAACATTACAATAATACATAGGTGCAAACTGGCATACTGAATGCATCAGTGCTGTTTCTACCATTAAAGAAACATAACAGTTGAATTGATCAGCTACAGATGCCCAGCTTAGGCAACAGCTAAATTTTTCTATCTACTCACAGTCATGTTTTAACATTCAATCTAATTCTGAGAAAATTCTTATCACCTGGGGACTGTACGTAATCAAAACAATCAAAACAAGTTAAGAACTTGCCAGATAATTTTAAAAGCAGATTGATGTAAATTGACGTAATTTTCAGTTCCATGTAACCGATGCAGTTTGTGAAATGGCTTTTAGAATGACAAAATGTATTAATCCTCATTTTTCAAAAATGCATAAAACAACTAAAAGTTCAAAATGGAAAAGTGTTTGCAACCTGCAATTTCCTTTGTATCCCCAAACAGCAATACCACCAGCAGAGGTAGTTATGAGTAAGAAGTCTCATCTTCCATTGTAAAACTGTTAAAAACCACAAAAGACCTTACACAAAACCATGCCAATGAACAACTAATGTATACATTATACAGTGAGGAAGCCAACAAAAACCCTTACTACCACTAACCTGACAGAGAAACATTGGAAATTTGGGAGAATGAAAGGTAATTTTTTATTCAAGTTACAGCCAAAAGTCATCAATAAAACCAACCCATCTCCAAATACTGAAAGAAATGCACAGTGAAAGCAATAAACTTTGGAACAACACTGGTTGATCAAGAAAAAGGACAGCTTTTAAAACTGCCAGCTTATTATATTATATGCAAGAAAAGAAATGCCACACACTTCTGTGTTACTGCCTCCTGGAAATGTTACAGACAACTTCTTTTCTGTGACCACAATTCTTTCAATGAAATGCAAAATGATACATCATTCCCCTTTTATTCTAGGTAGCAGAGAAGTATCTACCTGGACACCTACTTACCATACTAGAGTGGACTGTGGCTTGCTCAATGTATCTCGCAATGCCAGTGACAAATGCATTTCTGTCCTCAAAGTTAGTGTTGAAGTTTGGCTGCAAAGAAAGCAAAATGTTGAATCAAATTCTTGGTAAGGAAAATAATTTATGTATATCATAAAAGTGAACACTTTTGCTACTGTTGTTGTTTGCCTTTTGAGAGTACAGATTCTTGCAAAAGAACTGCAATATTTTTTTCTGAAATGACAGCAGACCTGGTAAAGCAGAGATGATGGTGGAGGTTCAATACACGGTTGCTGATCTGGCAATGGTAATTCTTCCAAGAGATCCACATTGGATAAGGCATCCTCCAGTGTTACTTGAGCAGTCATTTTGCACCTGTGGTTAAAAAAATACATACATATACATGTATGTATATACATATAGGTGTGTATACATACACGTACCTGTAGTTGTTTTATATATATATATATATTTAACTATATAAACAGAAAACAAACATCACAAAGAGCAGGGAACCATTACTACTGTGGGAAACAGGTAGTTTCCCTTTGATAGACACCATAATGGAAGGGAACACAGTCAAACCAAAACCCACATGGTTTCAGTATGCAAGTTTAAAATGAATGTTAGGATAACGACCTCCTCCTTACTTTTTGACTTCAGAAATACTTCTCTTCCTCCCTGCTGCACCAAAAACAGAGAAAACACTGACATCAAATTCACAGGAAAAAAGGACTGCCCTCAGATGTAACCACGAGGACAGTAACATCAATCTGAAGTTAAAAATAAATAAATGAAGAAACCACCAAAGATAACGCAGTAAAAGCAAAAACCAAAGCAAAGGGAAGGAAACACTCAGAACTGATACGCCACCTGCCCTCAGAGGCCAACCAACAAACCACACACAGAGAGAGCTCACCAACAATTTCTAACAACTACTGTCAGACAGGTCTGCAGGCATTTTGCTTCTTGAAACCATGGCTCCAGCTTTGCTTCGAGCCTGAGCAGGTTAGTTTTCATTACAATAAATAAATGAGCAGTGCACATGTTGTGCAACTTGCAATCCCTGTTGAAAAATGATGAAGGACAGGACTGACAGGAGTGCTTGCTGACAGAGCTGCCCACACTGAGCACAGCTCCTTCACAGCTAATGCGGTTATTCTTCAATGACAGGCAGGCAAAAGCCATGGCATCTTCCCTTCAATAAATAAACAAATGCCAAAAGAATTCCATATCTGGGCACAAGCCCCACAAGGAAGTTGAACTGTCAACAGTTTTAGCCTGGAGGAAAACAAGAGAGTTGCTAAGAAGTTAGAGCACCACAAGCAAACATTATTTTAATATTTTTGTTCTGAGTATCTATAGGTCAAGCTTCAGCTAAAATAAAAACCAACACACTTTACCTGGGATAGTTTAACTGAGAGGCTTCTTCCAACTTGAAGCTTCTCCTCCCTGTAGGCTCATGACCAAAACAAACTCCCACTCACAGCTCCCCTGGGCCTCACACCCATGGGACAGATGCATGCACAGTCACCCCACGCTGCCACAATGGACAGGCAAATGGCCACAAAACACTGCTCCATCCCTACTCCAAAACCCAGTGAAAAAATGGTTGCCTCTTATACTCTGAAAACTACTGCAGTTATTCACACAAAAGGGAGTTGTCATTTAATGGAATAGAAATGGCCAGGTCTCCCCTCACCAGCACCAGTGAGGCTACACCCAAAGTACCATGGCCACAGCTGGAGCAACGTTTCTGGACCCCGTGGTGGAAAAGGGACATAGATATATTGCAAAGAGTCCAACACTGGCCCACCAAAATGCTGAATCACAGAATCACAGAATTGTAGGGGTTGGAAGGGACCTCCAGAGATCATCGAGTCCAACCCCCCTGCCAAAGCAAGGAACAGAAGCACCTCTCTTATGAGGAAAGAGAGCTGAGACTGTTCAACCTGGAGAAGAGGAAGCTCAGGGAGATCTCATCGATGCCCTTAAACACCTGAAGAAAGGATGCACAGAGGTCAGGTCCAGCTTCCTGTCAGTGGTGCCCAGTGCCAGGACAAGAGGCCATGGGCACAAACCAGCACACAGGAGCTCCCTCTGAACGCCAGGAGCACTCCTGTGTAGGTGACGGAGCAGTGGCAGAGGCTGCCACTGTGAGGGCAGTGGCTGTGGGGTCTCCTCCTTGGGGGCTGGAGCAAGTGGGCCCTGAGTGCTCCGTCAGCCTCAGCCATGCTGTGATCCTCATCCCGCCTCCTCAAACACAGCCCAGATCCCCAGTGTGGAAGAAAAGCCAAGGATGCTGATGCTAAAAAAGTAGTTAGAAAATACGAACCAAAGGATAAGCAAAACCCAAACTCCTTCTCACTTACACTGCTGTCTTTTTAACAGCACCAGTCTAAGAAACTCCCCTCAGCAGGATGGATGCACAGGCTACAAAAGAAAGACTCCCTGCTGCCCTTTACACTGTGAGAAGAAACACAGGAGAGTACATTTTTTCCAAGCCCTTCGGCATGATTTCACAAAGATAGAACAGCATTTTGTGAACTGGGACAATGTAAGCAAATGGGCACAGACTGTTACAAAAGCCCTCTTGTTCTAAGGTTGCTGACAGATTCCCTTGGTAATTGCCATCCACACAGTTGGTGTTTGACTGGCCAAGCCATCATTTTAGCACGCCAGCCCTTCACTTTTCCTATCCTGCTGTCTAGCAAGACATGGAAGAAGAAGAAACTCCTTCCTGCCCAGCTTTGACACATTTGCATACATTGAGAGCAGCAGAGGAAGGGCAGCTGGAGCTCAGCTTGTTCTCCTCACCAGCCCTGAGACCTTGGTGGGAAAGATTTTCTTCAAGGTTCCTTTTCTTTTCATCCCCTAAGTATAATGAAAAGTCATTTAAGTAAACTAAAATTCCCAAGACACAAAACTGAACAGTTTTGCCTCCTTGAGACTGATCAGTATGAATTCTTATACGTGAAACTACTGGGCAGCAGCACTACTACTTCAACAGACTCCCTTCTGGCAAAGAACACAAGAAACTTCAAAGACCTCCTTTAAAAAAATCACAAACCACTGTCTGATTATGAATTCATCTTAATGAGAAGAGATTAAAACACTGTAGTTACACTGATAATTATAGCTACACTGGTAAATTTATTCAAGCAGCAAGGTTTACTTTCTTACTACAGTCCTCTGATGCTGTATTTTCAGCTGAGCACTCACCTAGGATTTTCCAGGACTGATTCGCTCAAGCAGAAACATATGAATTACTTCAAAACAATCCTTTTCTTTTTTTTTTTCCTTTTTCTTTTTTTTTTTTCTTTTTCTTCTGTCTTTGCATCACAACCCATCATTACAGCACTGAAGTCAAAATGCATTCCAGGAACACACTTTCCTGGACATACACAACTTAATTAAAAGCCATTTGTTATCTTACATCCTCCCTCCAGGAGAATCACACACATCTGCATGTTGGTTAGCTAAGTTTTAGTGTCTGATGAGCACACCCATCTTCCTAAGCAGTAGAAAGCTGTGTCTGTGCTGATTCCCAGGCTCTCTCCAGACTGCAAAGCCAGCAGACAAGAAATCCCTGTCTCCTGCACAAACAATCATCTTACCATGCAAATTCCCACTGCATCCAAGGGTCAGATGTATCAATCATGGGTGGTTTTTTTCTTTTTTTTTTTTTTAGGGCAACACCACTGACTAACTTAAATTAAGATATTCTTCTTTCTCTTCATTTGTGGAGGAGACAAGCACCAGATGGGCCTGACCTGCTCAGAACAGTTTGCAGTGCAGAGAAGCTTACTGTGCCATCTCCGTAACATTTTGTCCAGGTGAAAAACAAAAGAAAGGCACCAGACCCTGAAGTTCCTGTAGCATTATCTACATCTTAATCTAACTTCAGAGCTGGCTTAGTACTGAAACATATTCAAACAAAAGATCTGCCAGTCCTTTTTAAATGTTATAATTCTGTATCATTGTTAACAGCTATGCAACTGCATGGCACACAACACTTTGCTTAGCATTGCTCTGGTATTTAGAGGTGAGGGTCAATCCTAAGAGATAAACTATTTCCACATCTCCATCTTAACAGAATAACGTCTTTGCTAAAGATTAATTCCAAGCATACCAGAAAATGCACAGTGTGCATCTTTCAGCCTTGCTCTTGAAGGCCTCTTGATAGTTGGGCAGCCTGGTCCACTGGTTGATGACCCTGCCCACAGAAGGGCAGTTGAAACTAGATGATCTTTCAAGTCTTTTTCGACTCAGGCCATTCTATGATTCTATAATGATTCTATGATGATAGTGCAGACTGTTTGAAAAAACATATACAAACAGGAACACATTATGGGAAAAAGCCTTTCAAACAAACAAACAATCCACCTACATGAGTGACCAGAAGAACATTAAAAAAACATTGAAAGTAAGGACTGAGAAAGCAGAAGGTAGAGGAAAGAGTAGTAACTTCAGAATCACTATGATCTCAGTGATCATTTCCAACCTTTATGTTTCTATGATTCTATTTCAGAATGGAAAAGTATCCCCAAAATGCCATTTCTTGGGTGGAGGAATGATGTTTCTGGGCTGGTTCCTCTATAGAAATAAAGCTTTTTTCTTCTCATTCTTGGGGCAAGGATGTAGCTCTCCTAGCAGGGGCATGGACACGGCTGGACTAGATGATCTTAGAAGTCTTTTCCAACCTGAACGATTCTATGAGTCTACAAAAAAGAGGACTGCTGTAATACTATTCCACTCTCACAATCAACTTGTTTTTTTTTTAATCTCCAACACCCAAGGGAATTAAGGGATTATTATTTTTTTTAAATGAGGGAAAAAAAGAAAAAAACACTTTCGAGTTTTTAAGATATCTTCTATTGACAGTTACACGGGTCAAATTACTTATCAAAGAAGAAATCAGAAGACAACTCACTCACAGTCTATAATTACCTATAACAGGAAAATGATGTTAGATATTGGGAGATAGTTCCTAAGCGTGTTCAAGAAACAGCACACAAAATCCTGCAGACGTAAGTAAATTTAGGTAACCGTATGTTTCTTGAGACCTCCTTGTAAGTACAGAAATCACCAAGCATTTCCTCTTTCACTTCTTCTTCCAGAACCAAGGCTTCCACAGAAACAACCTCTAATGGCCTCAAGGATCTATTCAGCTGAACTTGAAAAAAACTTTGATTCTCAGTGCAAGAAGTTTAACCTCATAACTGGGCTCGCTGATCTCTACCTGTTTTCTTTTCCGTCATTCACTCAAAGTCCTGAAAATCCAGAAATCTTTATGGATTTATCAGCACAGGACCATCAGAGCAGTAACCCAGTAGCCCCCTTGCTTAGAAGAGGGGAACAGCAGCAGGCAGTGG